ATATGAAGTGAGCCAGTCAAATAGAGGTGGTTTGATACTCAATCGTTTAAGCCTATTGATAAAACATATATGGTTGATGTTAGATCCATTTTGCAAGTGAAAATCCCTCCATGCATACATTTATGATTTCTTCCTTACGTTTTCTTTATTTGTATATATTGTTAACTTTTTTGATGCTAATTAAGACTGTAACGTTTAATTTTTTTGGTTTTACTATCGTTTTTATTGAGTCTCTATGTTCTTTACTGAACTGTATTTGATTTGTTTTAATTGCTATTATTCTGGCGGCTGCCGTATTGACTGCTCGCTCTTTGATTGTGCGGTTGGAATTTGACTGGGATCATGCATTTTTGGTTGTAACTTGGAGCACTTTCCCAGAAATTGAAACACTGTGTTACAGAACAGCCGCTCAAACGGAATCTTACTTGATCTATCCAGAAGGGATAGAATAACACTCACCTTTTGGTGTTTTTGGTAATTTTTCATATATTTCTTACCACTTTGCTATTCATTGTAATTTAGATTGAATATTTTGGTATCAATTGTTGGTTGAATAACTGGGTGGTAATATTTGTTTAGGTCAATTTGTACATTTGTATATATGATGAGATTTAGAAACGTTATCACCCCCAAAACATCTTGTTCTGATTTCGACTGGGGGTGCGCGACTCTAATTTTACTCGTCAGTTATTCAACATTATCAAACCTAGTTTCCAACTAGGTTTGGATCTTACAGTTGACCCCATCAAAAGCTTTTAGAGAAATCAAGACAAATGATGTCAACCCTCCTATTACGATCAAGGATGATCGCCCTTCTGTCTACCGCAGTCAGCAGGTTGGTTATACAATAGTGACCCTTCCTGAAACCATACTGTTGGGGTGAGAAGAACTTTAGGGATAATAAGTAGTCGTTTATACCATCTCATATTAGGGACTCCATAATTTTAGAAGGTATGTAAAGAAGGGCCACCAGTCGGTAGTTTGAAGGTCCGCTGAGCCGACCTCCTTTGAAGATTGGTGTTGTGTGAACCATCGTTCAATTTTCCGGTAGTTTACCTTGACTTGGCGAGAGTGAGAACATCACGGTAAGCGGTGTTGACAAGATCGAAGGTGCTTCCCTCAGTATAGCAAAATGGACCATATCCACGCCCGGAAAGTGTCGTTTAGGTGCTGCACGTTCCGGTTCATCAAGTCAGAGCTCAGGTTTGCTTTGGAAAGTCCTGTACAGTCGCGTAAGAAGCTTTCATCAATATAGTTAGTGTGGGTCAGTTGAAATGTCCGAGAGTACTGTTCAGCAAGAAGGCTAGTGGTGTCACCGTCGTTACTGGTCGGACCATTAGGACCTATCAGCTGGAAAACTCCAGTTTCGGCTCGTCGAAGAGAAGCTGAGTAATCGAATAGGCTTTTCGGATTGGAGACAAATTTATCGATAAGCTTGGGCTGGTACTAAAGCCTATCTTCTCTTATTGCCTTTGTGCATATGTTCCTTTTATGTTTGTATTGCTTATGCGCGCCGTTGTAATCAGTTCGTTTGTATTCAGCCCAACAGTGCCTTTGGTGGGCTAGCAGAAGAATAATGCAGTTCTTGATGACTGTCGGTTGCTTGTAGATTTTGGAGGCCGTTCGCCGAACAGACTGCCCTGTAGTACATAAGGTCGTTTGCAGTAAGAAATTCCAATGAACATCCACTTGAAGTTGAGGATGAACATCCCAACACACCTGTTGTAGATAATTCTGTAAAGCTGACACATTCAATAGTTTGAAATTCCACCGTCTATTGTTGGTGAGATATCTTAGCTAACTCACTTTTGCTTGCAAAGCTGAAGGATGTAATGGCGTGATCGCTTTTCCCTGGAGGACCCAGGATTGAGAGGTTGTCAACTAGGAATTCTTCATCTGTAAATACCCAATATAAGTATGACGGCGTGTGACTGTTTCTCCAACGAGTTGCCCACTTCACATTTTTGAATAATCGCAGATCCTCAATGAGGTTGAAGAGCCGAGCTTTGAGTTTTCACCTCCAAAATACATATGTTCCGCGAAGTTGACTTTAGAAAGATTGAACTCTCCTAGAATCAGGATATAAGTGAATCCGAAACGAGTGAAGCGGGACAATCCCTCCGGCATATGATGGTCGTACTCGATTTTAACAGTGGACTTCCTGTAGATGACTCCAACTAGACAATCTTACTGAGCACAATACGGATTTATCAAGGTTGAGAAACTCTTGGATGTGAAGTTGATGTACCTCCAGGCATGATCGTATGTATAAGGCCACTCTACCCCTTATTCCTGTTTTCCTGTCATTACGAAACAAAGATTTTCTAGGTATTGCTAGCTTCTGGTCTGTAAACTGAGAAGTTATCCAACTTTCAGATATTCCTATCACATGAGCATTATTAGCATTACTGAGTTCACATAGCTTATCCATTTTATTCGGTACACTCGCGGTGTTCATATGTAGGCAGTTTATGCTTTCAATTTGAAACGCGTGATTTTCCCCGTCCTGATTATCTGTATGAGCCTTATGTGAATGGACAGGCAGCCTTCCTATACATGGTTTTCCGAGTTGGTAGCCCATGTCGTTTGCGCGTGTTTTCATAATCAAGAAAGCCCACAGATTCAATGGTCAGTTCCAACTTGCCTTTATGCTTGATCCTGGTGTCGTGTGGCCTTTTTGGATTCATATGGTTTCCAGTTAGCAACTGGCGAGGATGAGAAGGTTATGTTTATCATCCGGAGTCTAGAATCACCGTCCTTCTTGGCTTGTTTAACCACCTGTCGAGTAAGTATGTTTCTGAACTTCAATGCTTGCTCAATGAATCTCTATACCCTAATATCAGAGTTTGCTTCACCATGGGTCCGTATTTTCCGTTACACCTTGCACAGTGATATTTCTTCCGCGGAAACACTTCTCTTGAGCTTGTTTAAGGATGTTCTAAATGTTATGGCGCTCAGAATAAAGTATGTCAGACAATATTCTTTCATTCTCATTGGATTTCAGTAAGTGACTAGCTAGAGCGGCATCAACTACTTCACTATCGTTCTTGAGTGTTACACGAAGTAGCCTCGGGTGATTTTGATGCTTTGAGTACTTTCTCCAAGTGAACCTGAAATTTCTTGAAGACTTCCCATACTGGCTATGACTTCAGCACCAGTCGGGGTTATCCGTCTCTCGTGTTCTAGAGACAGATCGCCTACGTGAAATGCTTCTTCGCGGGGTGTGTGACCGTTTACGGCCATTCGGAAATCGAAGTTAACGTGTGAGTGTATGACATAATTCGGTGATGTCATTCGGGGTCGTTTGAGGTTTTTCTTTGACCGACAAAACCTCGACATTAGAAGATTTCGTGATTTCCAAGATGCGATCGCCAGATGCAGTCAATTCGTCTACAGCGTTGTTTTGAAACGAGACCAGAACTGCTCGCACCTGTCGCGGGAGTTTAGATAAGAAGAGCTGTTCGATTAGGCCCTCGTTGAAAATTTTTTGGCTTATCACCTCTCTCATCCTTAGCAACATATCTGTCGCGGAACAATGTTGCATGTCGATGTTACTAAGGAGTTGGGCTAACCTTTGTCGATCAGTTAGATCTCCGCGTTTAAGAATCGATCGTGTAATAGTTTCGTAAGGTTCCGAAACATCACAAGTAGACATACTAGGTGTTACGTACCTGTTTAATTCGCGCGATAGTGCCTTAACAACCACGAGGAACTGTATGCGTGAGTCCGCAATTCCGTGCCCGTAAAAGTCGGCTTCCGCGTAACAGAACCAAGCTTCGATATTGTCCGGTCAAAAAGGCATTAGCTGAATCGAGGGTGGGGCATAGTATTCAACTTAAATACTTTGGGTGACTGTTCCGTCATAGTGAAAAATCAAGTATTAAAATGAACGAAAAATAAATAATTAAAATATATCCAAAAACTCGAAAAAAGATATATTAAAATACATAAAAGTCAAATAAAGCAAAACAATGATTTATGGAGTTCTCATAAAGGAATAAACTCACAGTTTATCGTTTGGTGTACCGGCTAAAATCAGAATCGAGGAGGTTGGAAGATGAGTTATCAATATATCGAGAAGTGACTGATATAATCTGGCTAATGATCGTAGATGTTTCCCACGCCGTTCTATAACGTGATATGGTACGGATGCATGACCGAGTGCCTTCAGCTAAACGAGTCCACTGAAACTAATGGGATCAGCATCCAATGTTCAACACTTACAGAGCTATTAATTTTTAGGATTTATTTACATCTAAAAGCTGATTAGAAATGCATAGCTCCCGTAATTCAGGTAATTCCCGTAGCCTCATACACACGGTGTGGAAAAGATTGACTAGATCCGCACACGTTTTTACACGTTAGCGTTTGTGAACTGATCAAAGTCTTCAAAGTACTTAACAACAGCTATCGATTCAACCGTTTCACATTTCGTTATGCTTTAGAACTTTCACAAGACTAGTATGAAATGTATATTAGCCGACTGCAAATGATAACATTGAAATCAGAGAAACTATCTTTGATGTGCCATAAGAAGAGGCAATGAACAAGACTTGTAGAAAATAAGGCTGAATTAATGACCAGAAGGTTTTCAGAGTTCTTCACTTTCCAAACTAAAAGTGAATGGAAAAGCATACAGTTACAGTTACGTTCAAGCAATTTATTACCATGTCAAAACTTAGACCTAATTAGTGTGTCCTGCCAAACGGTATGAGCAGAATCTGACAATGCGACACAAAGAACAACCGTGAAAATAATTTCAGGGATGTAGCATCTAAAGGTTTAGCCAACCAAGCCCCTATTTATTTTGCTATAGAATTCTACGAAACAAAAAACCTGTTTTCTATGTAAAAAAAACCTCTGAATTCATGATCAAATATGCAACATGGGTATTTTCTCCTTCAGCTTTAGTTATAAACAATGAAACGCAATAAGATTAATTAATTGGAAGTTGAAGCACTTTGACTGTATACGGTTTTGTTTGTCCCAACTGTTCTTCCGCCTAGCTCGGTGAACACAGTAGTGTTGGTTGCGTGCCCTTGGCGTGTTATCGTTGTCTGTCTTTGTAACTATGCCTTCTGATAAAGAACATATTAACATAGTGGTTATTGGGCATGTAGATAGTGGGAAATCCACTACTACCGGACATCTCATTTTCAAATGCGGTGGCATTGACAAACGTGCTATTGAAAAGTATGAAAAGGAGTCTGGAGAGGTAAGTGTATTGTATCCTAGTTAAACTTCTTTAGATGGGTAAAGGTTCTTTCAAATATGCTTGGGTATTGGATAAACTGAAGGCTGAACGCGAACGTGGTATCACGATCGATATTGCGCTGTGGAAGTTCGATACCCAAAATTACAAAGTCACAGTTATTGATGCACCCGGACATCGTGACTTTATCAAGAATATGATCACAGGAACAAGTCAAGCTGACTGTGCCATGTTGATTGTCGCTGCTGGTGTTGGTGAGTTTGAAGCTGGTATTTCCAAAAACGGTCAGACAAGAGAACATGCATTGCTGGCATACACATTGGGTGTCAAACAGTTGATCATCGCCATCAACAAAATGGACTGCACAGAACCTCCTTTTTCTGAAGATCGCTACAAAGAAATTGTCAAAGAAGTTTCCGGCTACATCAAAAAAGTTGGTTACAATCCCGCCACAGTCCCATTTGTACCGATCTCTGGCTGGCACGGTGATAATATGATAGAAAAGAGTACTAACATGCCGTGGTTTAAAGGTTGGGAGATAACAAGAACAAAGGATGGAAAGACTGTTACTGATACAGGCTTCACATTGCTAGAAGCATTAGATAAAATGGAACCCCCAGCAAGAATGACTGATAAACCACTCAGAATTCCCTTGCAAGATGTTTACAAGATTGGTGGTATTGGTACGGTCCCCGTTGGTCGCGTTGAAACTGGCATCATCAAACCTGGTATGGTCGTCACTTTTGCTCCACAAGGTTTGTCGACTGAAGTCAAGTCTGTCGAAATGCACCATGAAGCTCTTACTGAGGCTCTCCCTGGTAGCAACGTTGGATTCAATGTTAAGAACGTCGCAGTCAGTGAAATCCACCGTGGTAACGTTGCAGGGGATTCTAAAAACGACCCTCCTAAAGAAGCTGAAAGCTTCATGGCACAAGTAATTGTCATGAACCATCCAGGTGAGATCAAGAATGGCTATTCTCCAGTCCTTGATTGTCACACTGCACACATTGCTTGCAAATTTAGTGAAATAACGGAAAAGCTTGATCGACGTTCGGGGAAGAAGACTGAAGACAATCCAAAATGCATTAAAAATGGTGATGCAGCTAACATATTGCTCGTGCCAAATAAGCCCTTATGTTTAGAGACATTCCAGCAGTACCCACCACTCGGTCGCTTTGCCGTTCGAGATATGAAGCAAACGGTGGCTGTGGGTGTCGTAAAATCTGTCACCAAGAAAGAAAGTGCTGCTAAAGTTACCAAGTCCGCCGCAAAGGTTGCAAAGAAAAAGTAATTTAAAAGTATTCAGTTAACCAATTAAAATTTTTGGATTAAGACTGCTTTTTCATAGAATCATTTCCTAAAGTCTTTTGTTTAGTGTCGCTCCAGGCTGTTTAGGTTATTATAGGAGAGTTATGTTCGATTTAGTCTAGTAACGCGTAAACACGAGCCCGTCTGGCTTAAGCATCCATTGCTTATTTATTGCGAAAACGTAGGATGTTGTGTGTAGATTATTCTAAGATAGTATCCTCGAAGTTTCCAAGTTGTCGTTATTGTTTAACCGTGTAGCGTTTGGAGAGTTGGTTCTTATGGTCTAGGACCTTACATGTTTTATATCCTAAGCACTATGTTCATCGTACCTGGTTTATAGTTCTTTACTATCTGTACTGAAATTTGCTCATTCTGCTGTAGTTGACGGACTGTGTAGAGCCGGAAGTATAATGTTGGTTGGTCGTTAAGCCGTCAAGTTGGTAGTCGTATATGTGGACCGACGTCTTTGTGAAACACTTGTGTAATCTCAACTGGTAGTCGGTTTTCTTTCTATTGAAATGCGTAATACGACTTTGCATTAGGTGCTTACGAAGTATAGGAATCAACACTGATATCAAATCACAATAAGGCATGGGCATCCGAAAACTACAATGTCTTTCGTTCGTTAGACTTTATTATGAAGCTTCCAAGTTGGCGTCTGTTTCTTTTATACGTCGCATGAAAAGAGCCTTATTATATATATATATATGTGTGTGTGTGTTACGTTGTAGGCTTTTCAGTCCCATGTATACAGCCTTAAATAAGTTCTCGTAAATCGCAAAGAGTTGAGATAAAGCATGTTATGATGCCTGTCAGTTCAACCGGAGAAGTCATTTTATCATGATACATGCTGTTTTTCCACTTTTTAGATAATTGACCTGTTTAACCGTATAAACGATACTATAGCTTTATGTTATCTGTTATTAGCGACAAAAGTTACAGCCGAAGAACACAATTTAATATTACCGTAAGCTATTCATTCGAGTGTGGATATTTCGTCTTAAGTAGTAATCTAATGACTTATTTCAAGCTCCATGCGATTGTTTTACCACTGACCAAACAACAATTTAGGGGTATTTTGTAAAATTGCTTTGAATAAACTGTCCGTGAATTATCAGTTCAGTGTACTACCAAGTAAACTGGCTCACAGTACATAATTCTTTGAATTGAAATAAAGATGTGAAATGGGGATTTTCTTAACTCTTTCATCGACGTTCATTGAGCTTGGAATTTATTGAGAAATGCCTGGTGTCATTGATAAGTCAAATATTTACCTTTACTTAGATGTACAGTATTTTTCCATAATCACACAAAGTACTCACCTATGTAATTGCCCGTACTGAAATCCATGTTTAGACTCTCATTATGCATTGATACCAGCACGCTTTGTTTGCGCATCATTGGACGCAGAAAAACTACAATAAGAACCATTAGGATTGAACTGGAGGAGTAGAAAGCCAAAAGAAAGTTCCCGGTACAACTGAGTTCACATCTAGGCAGTTCTGTAAACGAGACTCATCCAGATGCTCTGGTAAGATATACAAACAGCAGTAACATTTATCAGTAATCTAAAGCCTAGGGTTACAAAAACAATGGATTTCCTCCAAGTATAATTCATTGATGAATTCGCGTACACCAATCCCATCAGGCTCTGAACACATTGGAGAGCGAAAACAAATCAGATCTATGTCAACAAAAAGACGAAGGAACGGTCGTGAGCAGTTGTTGGCAACGAAAGCAAAAGAGATGAAAGAGACACCGACTTTTGGCAACTCTTCAGATTGATAAAAGAAATCGGAATTAAGTGTAAGCGAAACAATCGGAAAACGACGAAACCCTCATCTGCTCCCAGCCCAGACGTTTAGAACGATAGATGGTGTAGGCTAGCTTGCCTTCAGCTACGCTGCAGTTACCCAACATTCTCAAACAGTCAAGGGATTTTTGTGGCAAATATATATTTGGTGCCCCTTTGTACCAATATTTGTGTTTAAATACATAAAAACCGCTCACCATTCCCAAACAACCTGGATAAAACATTAAAATGGGCTTCCCGACTCTATTTGAAGTTCAAAAAGCTATAGCTAATCTGAAACTAGGAAAAACAGCTGGTCTAGATTGATTAGCTCCAGAGGCCTTTAAGGATGGTGGTCTAGTTTTAGCGATTTGGTTGGCCAATGTTTTAGCTAAAATCAAGGAGTTGGACGTAATCCCATCTAACTGGTCGCAATCGCTTATTGTCCTAATATACAAGAAGGGGTCGAAATTATCCTGTAATAACCATAGAGGAATTAGTTTGACTAATATGTGACACGTGACAGAGGATATAGTTCTTCTTTTGATAACTAACCTAAAACCTTGTAAGATACCGGGCCCCGATGGGTTACACCCACGTTTGCTGTCGTCGCTTGCGGACATTATCTCAAGACCGCTCACGATGCTCTTCAACATGTCCCTTTCACAGGCTCAACTACCTAGAGACTGGAAAGACGCCATAGTTAGTCCTATATTTAAGGATGGTCAGAGACGGATAGTATCTAACTACCGGCCTGTTAGCCTGACCAGTATAGTAGTTAAGTTACTTGAAAAATTAATTCGGGCTAAGCTACTGAGCCACATTGATTCGTACAATCTGTTAACTCCCGAGCAACATGGGTTTCGTAACAAGCATTCATGCTTGACTAACTTACTCATTGCGAGAGAGGATTGGACAGCTGCACTAGACAACGGCCAGTCTGTCGACGTGATATTTATAGATTTTAGCAAAGCGTCTGATAAGGTTTCACACTTAGGTCTTATGCAAAAGCTCTCGAGCTTTGGTATAACAGGTGCTATACAGGAATGGATAGGAAGCTTCTTATGTGACCGCAGACAGAGAGTGAGAGTCAATGGAACTCTATCCGAATGGAAACCGGTCAAAAGTGGTGTACCCCAAGGCACCATCTTGGGCCCTTTACTTTTCCTTCTGTATATTAATGAAATACCTTTATTACTTAAGTCGTCGACGTTATTGTTTGCGGATGATGTTAAAATCTGGAGAACAATAAGAAATGAGACTGATCGTTGTTATCTACAAGCAGATTTAGACGAATTAGTTAGGTGGGCTCATGATTGGGGCCTGGAAGTTAATTCTAGGAAGAGCGTGTTCATGCACATCGGGCACGATATTAGTTACCACTATACCATTAATGGTACATCTCTGCCACGCGTTCATGCGCATAAAGACTTAGGAGTAATTATAAGTCACGACTTAAAAACTACAACACACTGCAGTGCGGTTGCTTCCAAGAGCATTTAAATGCTTTGACGAGGATATGTTTCGAATTTTATATCCCACCTATGTAAGGCCACACTTAGAATACTGTATCCAAGCAGCTAGCCCTTGTCTGATAAAGGATACTAAATCGCTTGAGCATGTCCAGCGTGTAGGGACAAAATTAGTAAAGGGTCTTTCCAAACTCCCTTACGATGAGCGTTTAAAACGTCTAAATCTTTTCCCCTTATCTTATCGTAGGACGCGAGGTGACCTTATACTGGCATTTCGTATCTTTAATTATGATCTGGGTGTTAATATGTCCTACCTTTTTGCTCCCTCCAGCACTAATAATCTCCGGGGTCATAGCAAGAAGGTTCTGAAACCGCGATCTAATAAACTAAAGGTGGGGTCCCGTTTTTCTCATCGAGTGGTCAATGACTGGAACGCTTTACCAGAACAAGTGGTATCAGCACCATCAGTGAACATTTTCAAAAAGAAGCTGGACCTTCACTGGAAGGAAATCTGTCAGGATTAACACAGGTTCATCAACCTACTATCCTTATTACTGAAGACTAATATAACATCTAAAATACTAGCCTGAATAATTATTGGGCGCCTAGCTAAGACTCGTGAACTGCAAACACGAGAAAATTAGACTGGCTTCAGATCTGGTCGTGGCTGTATCGAACGCGTATTCAGTCAGTCACAACGTAGAACTTCGTACGTACGTACATCAGTTCGAGTTGCCATACCACATTAGCACTGATATGCAGTTGTCGATTGGAATCCCATAGTGGTCGAAGTAGTAAGGGTATAAGCATTAGTGTGAAAGATTAGGGTTTGAAGGTGTTATTGAAGGAGTATAATACGGTGAAATAAATTTGTAAAGAGAAAAAAGATAGACACATGAAGAATTCAGAAGATTAGAATTTGGTAGAACACAAGGAGTGGATGCACGTTCGCCATTGCAAACGATTTTGAGCCATGTCATTCAAGGTCTATAACCATCGGTTTCTATCATCTGGCGAATCCAGAAATGTCCATGGTCTTATTTGGAAGTCTTGGTTATTAGAAAATTCAAACTTATTTCAAGTATACAAAAAATTCGGTTTAGCCTACGGTGGTGTGACATTTTATTACTCTCATAATGTATCATCTCTTCAACATTTTCAAATATCATTTTATGTTCACATGACATGTCATTCGATTGAGAAGTGAATAATATTGATGAAAAATGGAAAAGAATAACGAAAACGGATTATTGACTGGAAAAAAACAGACTGAAAATAGTTGCTGCCATGGAAGAATGAGAGCTTGCTCGTAATACTTTCGACACACAATTCAGGCTTGAATGGTTAAAGCATCTGTAGTACACAGGCTTTTGATCTCTGCTGCCTTTGAGCCAGCTTGGTTAGATGTATATATTATTCTAGTGGGGTAGCCTGACAAGAATTGATGATAAGTTATTAGGTTGTTGGTCGTTTTTCATTCTACTTTTAAAAGCCAATCAAGCTATAGTTCTGAGATGCGTTCCAGATAGCACTTACTGTTCGCTATCAATCTAATCCGCCCCACAAGAACAAGTAAACTTATAGATGTACATCAGTGTGACCTAATGCAAATACTTATCCTTAGCACATCCATGGCTGATACTACGGATGGCAAAGGCAATAGAAAAGTCTACATAGCACAAATTCATTTTGAGAAGCTTTAGAATTCAGTTTTCTAGGATGTTTGTACGGGAGTTTTAACAGTAGGCTTGGCTTTTA